GTATTATATTATTGCATTTGGCCCACCACCCTAAGATTGATTTTAATGTTGGCCCTCTCAGGGAAAATGTTTGGACACCCCTGCTATAAGAGTACAAGAGAACAACACAGGCCTGCAGACTGATTACAAACTGAACCATTCGGTGAAGAAGTGTCAAACAGGTGATTRCTGTGTTTCATACTGACAGCTGAAAGGGAGTTGGGACTTCTTGAATGTTAACTGTTTTYCWAAAGGGTGGAAAACTGTCGGTCCCATGAGAATGGGTTAACACACTGCAAGAGGTTCTGCTCTGCTGAGATGGTGATGATGAAGACCGYGAGGTTCCCAGTTCCTTCAAACAGGTCAAACCAGTCAATAAAAACTGTAATGATYTACAATAATCTGCTTAAACTGTGTATTGTTATACACAAAACTGTATGGTTTGTATAAATWARACTAAAAAAGATCCAYTATCAGTACTTGTAATTGAGTTTGATGTCTAGGTTTGACATTTTAAATAATTTCATCAGTGCCAACCTCAGACTGTGAACTGGGACCAGTTCTGACACAGATCATGTTGCCTTTGTTTGCCACACCATGTCTCCAGAAGTACTCCACTATTTGAAAGACTGAAGACTTTCCTTTTTCATAAATCCTATAGTTAGACTTAGGTTTCCTGAATTATTCTTCATTTCTGCTGCTATAGACTTAGACTGCTGGAGCACAAACTGAGCACATTTCCTCACTCTGCTGTTGTCTTTAGTCTCTCTTCTCTACATGTTTATTCTTATTATTTCTATCAGGTTTTTTCTTTGTCTCTTTTCCAGAAGAAGGTGCACCTGGACCAGTCCTGGACCAGTTCTTCTGTGTTTACCTGTGTCTCTTTCCTGTCCTCCAACCAGCCGGTCGAGGCAGATGGTCTCCTGTCCTGAGCCTGGTTCTGCTGGAGGTTTCTTCCTGATTAGCAGGGAGTTTTTCCTCTCCACCGTTTGCTCAGGATGGGAGACTGTGAGGAAGTGATTCAACACAATCTGCTGCTTTCTTCTTTACATTGTCCTGTATGGAGAAACTAGTGGCATGCATTGCTCAGGTGTGATTTTGGCCCATTCTTCCACACAAACAGTCTTCAAATCTTGAAGGTTTCGTGGACCTCTTCTATGAACTCTGATCTTTAGTTCTTTCCATAGATTTTCTGTTGGATTCAGGTCAGGTGATTGGCTGGGCCATTCCAGCAGCTTTAGTTTCTTTCTCTGAAACCAACTGAGAGTTTCCTTGGCTTTGTGTTTGGGCTCATTGTCTTGCTGAAATGTCCAGCCACGTTTCATCTTCATCATCCTGGTAGATGGAAGCAGATTTTTATCAAGAATGTCTCTGTACATTTTTCCACTCATCCTTCCTTCAATTATTTGAAGTTTGCCAGTACCATATGCTGAAAAACAGGCCCACACCATGATGTTCCCACCTCCAAACTTCACTGTTGGTATGGTGTTTTTGGGCTGATGTGCAGTGCCATTTGACCTCCAAACATGATGTGTATTCTGGCATCCAAACAGTTCAATGTTGGTCTCATCTGACCAGACTATATTCTCCCAGTATTACACAGGCTTGTTTAAATGTTGTGCAGCAAACTTTAAAGGAGCTTCAACATGCTGTTTCTTCAGCAGTGGAGTCTTGCGTGGTGAGCGTGCATACAGGCCATGGTGGTTCAGTGCATTACTTATTGTTTTCTTTGAAACAATCGTACCTGCTAATTCCAGGTCTTTCTGAAGCTCTCCACAAGTGGTCCTTGGCTCTTGGACAACTCTTCTGATAATTCTTTTCACTCCTCTGTCAGAAATCTTGTGAGGAGCACCTGGTCGTGGTCGGTTTATGGTGAAATAATGTTCTTTCCACTTCTGAATTATGGCCCCAACAGTGCTCACTGGAACCTTCAGAAGTTTAGACATTCTTCTGTAACCGATGCCATCATTATGCTTTGCAACAATAAGGTTGTGAAGGTCTTGAGAGAGCTCTTTACTTTTACCCATCATCAGATGGTTCTTGTGTGATACCTGGCCATCATTTGGGACTGAACCAGCTGATATTAYCTTGCACTGACAAGGGGCAGGCTTGCTTTCTAATTACTGAGAGAGTTCAGCTGGTGTCTTGGCTTTCCATGCCTTTTTACACCTCCTTCATGTGTTCAATACTTTTTCCCTGTGCCATTCCACATTATTACAAATAACTTCATTTCTGGACATTTATGGTTTGATTTCTTTGTATGTATGGATCACTTGAGTTGTTACCAACATCTGGTGAAAATTTCATGTCATTAGCACCTCTAGTAATATATTTACTGAGAAAAATGCTGACGTGTTCAATACTTATTTTACCTGCTGTAGGTATACCTTTCAGCAAGGTTATAATCATTATTATTATATACATTTGCATTTTATTGCTGTGTTTTTGTTTTGTTTCTGCAGGTGTGCAGATGTCAGGTGTGATGTCTTGTGTTTTCTGGATGTTTATATCACATAACTTCTAATCTCTCGTTCCCATTATYTTTCACCTTTTTCTTCTCTTTTTCTTTAAAAAAAAGTCACTGATGATGAAGAAACTAAGAAACTAATATTCAGTTCTGCTTTCTACTGAAGTGGCTAAAAAAAAGAAACAAAGGAGAGGATTACCAAACTCTTAAAGAGGGTAAATCATCATAGTGTTGCAGAAGATGTTGGTTGTTCAGTCTGTGTCTAAAATCTGGACCAACAAACAACATGGGAAGGTTGTTAAAGACAATCATACTGGAAGACCAAGGAAGACATCAAAGCATGAAGACAGAAAACTTAAAACAAGATGTCTCCAAAACAGAAAATGCAACAAAACAAATGAGGAATGAATGGAGGAAACTGGAGTCGACGTCTGTGACCGAACTGTAAGAAACCTCCTAAAGGAAATGGGATTTACACACAGAAAAGCTAAATGAAAGCTATCATTAACACCTAAACAGYAAAACACAAGGTTACAGTGGGCTGAGGAAAAGAAATGGAGGACTGTGGATGACTGGATGAAAGTCAGATTCAGTGATGAATCAAGAATCGACCCACCCTAGCCCACGGACTATCCTGGACACAACTGGAAGAAATTCTCAAAGCAGAAATACTGCAGGACACTTTGATTTGATTGGTTGTTTTGTAGAAATAAATGGTGCAAAGCTTTTATTCAAGTATCTCAAACTTTACTCAAACAGTTGCTTACAAAGAATGCACAGATTTAAAGCAGCTTTAGAGACAAATCCAAGYAAACCCAAAGTTATAAAAAGTGTCCAGACACTGTATCCTACTGAAAGACCAGCTAGAYTCCTTTACTATAAAACTGGTACAATAAACTGATGAGAAAAATACCTGCTTCTCAGCTTTTATATATATAGGGATCAAACTGTTACATTGAATTACATTTTCTAGATCTAACTTCTAGTCAAAACCCACACAAACAAAACCAGACTTGTCAAAAACAAGTTCTTTCTACGACACAATGAGGGAATAAGAGCTTTTGTTTTAGAAGAAACTCAAGTCTTTTTATTTTCAATGTCCAATTCCTTCAAAAAAAAGAAAAAGCCTCAAGCCTGCAAACATAATTTTTAATAAATATAAATATATCTATAGTTTCCTTTAAAACGTGAAAAGGACGTGACAAAAATAGCTTTCCTCAGTCTAGATGCAGTTGCATAAATAAACATAAACAGTATTATGTACAAAGGTTAACACAAAGCGAGCCTGGTACGTATAAATCCTTAAAGGCCGTTAAATGTGTCGGAGTGAAGATGGACTAACTTTAAAAAGAGCTGAAGYGTGTCTCCTAACTCAGCATCAGTGAGTCAAATAATATTATCAACTTGCTCCAAGTCTTCAGTTGTCGAGTTAAAAATGAGAAAAGGTCAACAGGGTTGGGTGACGGTGGAGATCAACCTGTGTGAGCATTTTCTTTGGCCCGTTTTAAAAACTAGGCCAGTCGATGGCTGATACACACCTTTTTTTGGGTTAATATTCGTTTTTTTATTAACCAAACCAAAACTTTTTTATGTAAATTAGAAGAACTTGTAGACGGACCTCTTTCAAATGAGATCCATGGCCTCAGTTTTATTTCTGCTGACAAATCCCACTATAATCCAGCAGAGTATTTATGCCAAAAAATAAATAAACTGTGGCCTACAGTGAGCTGCTGCTGCATCTTTATGATCCTATAAGTAATTTATTTTAAATAATYTAGCTAATGTTGGCAGATTAATCTGTGACATATGATATATAAGACATATTTGTGATTTTTTGTTTTAGAATAAGGCGTTACTCTAAACTTAACAACAGATAACAGCTTTGGGCTGATTTTAATAGCTACAGGCAGACAGCTTCGTCACAGTTAAACACGTGGTTAACTTTAARATCACGCTCTTATTGTCTATACTTTGGAAAGTTGGAGCCTACAAGAATATTGTCTTAAACAACATTAAAAGCAAGCAATTGAAGTACCTGAGTGGCTGCATGAAGTCTCCTCAAACAACAGGTGATTTCTGCAGCGAGCAAGAAAAAACTGAGCATTTCACTAATAACAGTAATAAAGAAAKAAGGATTAGTGGTTGAATTAGTTGGGCAGTCTATGTTTAACAGCTGTTATTAAATGTGAYGAAAAACTCTGTGGTGTGCCTTAATTGTTCTTATAGAAATTATGTAATATTTTATTTGTCTATTGGTTAATTTTCCAGAAAATGATGCTATTGAAAACTGTATTGTAATGGGCTGAGGATGGTCATTTATATTTCATGTTCTGGTTGATCTTAAAATAATTCAAGAATCTATATTTAAAACTTTGAGGCATTACGAAGTTATTTTAAGCTACAAAGGAGTGATTGATCTTTTCTTACACAAGTGTAATTCCAATTAACTGTGACATTTTCAGAACAAATACTTCTTAATTTGTATTCCAACATGTTCAGACTTTGGTTTAAATGGTAAATTAATTTACACATCAAAACTCTTAAAATGTAAAGATCAACTAGCTAAATAAGTGGAAACTATCATCCTTCACATAAAACTACTGCAGATGGTCGCCCAGCTGCCCGACTCCAAAGATCAAGAAATCTAAGAAAAAAACAAACAAACTGAAAAATACAATAATGTAATATTTCTTCTGATGAGTTATTTTGATTTGAAAAAAATTCAGTAGTTTGTAGAAAAAGCATCACATACAAAACTGCATTTTTGTTGTGCCCAATTATGGCGGTAGAGCAGTTACAGTTAAACCTTTAGCATTTATTGTCTTTTTTCTGAGAAAAATAAGAAATTAAATCCAAAACCAGAGGAGAAAAAGATCCATTTACAGTGTGATTAAAAATAGAAATCTAACAGTTTTTTTTAAAGCACAGACAAGTCTTTCAGTCCCTGCCGATTATCTTAAATATGATGCCTGAGTGGCTGTGGAAGAACAGGGTGTGTGTGTGTGTGTGTGTGTGTGTGTGTGTGTGTGTGTGTGTGTGTGTGTGTGTGTGTGTGTGGTCCATTCCTATTAGCACTCAGTAGAAGCAAAAAGCTGCAGCACTGTGTAGAAAAGGGAAGTCACTCCATGATGGCCCTGTAGACGACGGGCTCAATGTAGTCCTCTCTGTATCGAGAGTTGATGACTCGTTGGCGTTTGGAGTTCTGTTTGACGTTGTTCTTGGTCAGCTCAAAGCGCATATCCGATGCCACTGACTGGAGATAGTACAAAGCCAGATGGAATGAATGAAATAACAGATCTGACCAGAATATTTGGCTTCTTATCAAAAGGCACTCTTGAAAGTTGATAAACCTAGTCTCAGAAAAAAATAGTTTTAGCTCACCATGCGAGACTGGACTCGTTTCGGCAAATCTTCGTCAAGAGTGTAAATATCTTCTCTCTTGGCTGTGATTTGTGACCCATCTTCAAACTCCACCTGGATACACACATGCAGTAAAATGTTTACTTGATAGTGAGCTCAACAGACAAAAGATTACAGAGAAACATGAGGCAGGTTTACCAGGTACATGGGGATGGAGTGGGACGTTACAAACTTGGCTCCGTATATCAACCCGTCTGTCCATCGCACCTGAACGGCCTCACCTTCAGAGGGCGGGCCAAGTCGGATGCAGTCACGGTTCTGAAAGTACATCAAGCAAGCTGAGAAATCACACTTCGTATTACAGGATTCCCTAAGAATTTCCATTTTTGAATTGCACTCTCTTCCAAGTAGGGGTCTCTGCAGGTGTAGTTGGGCCTACCTGTGATTCGTGGAGTTTGTGTGTGGGCATAGTTGGGCCTACTAATGATTGGTGGAAGTCTTGGTGTGGGTGTAGTTGGGCCTACCTGTGATTGGTGGAAGTCTTGGTGTGGGTGTAGCTGGGCCTACCTGTGATTGGTGGAAGTCTTGGTGTGGGTGTAGTTGGGCCTACCTGTGATTGGTGGAAGTCTTGGTGTGGGTGTAGCTGGGCCTACCTGTGATTGGTGGAAGTCTTGGTGTGGGTGTAGTTGGGCCTACCTAGGATTGGTGGAGTTTGTGAGTGGGCGTAGTTGGGCCTACTAATGATTGGTGGAAGTCTTGGTGTGGGTGTAGTTGGGCCTACCTACGATTGGTGGAAGTCTTGGTGCAGACTGGTCCAAGGTGAAAGGCCAGACAAAACGAGGTTCAAAATACTTGCATGGATAAGAATAGTGTGACATGGAGGCTTGTGATTGGGAGGGAAGGCATGTTTGATCTGAGCCGAGTTGGATTTGTTAACTATAAACAGGTACTAACTGTTCAGAAATTTTCGACAAACCCTCATTTTAAAATGTCCAGAAATTTCTTTAAGAGAACTGTGAATAAACAAATGCTGTAAACACTAAGAAACTGAAGCAACATTGTAAAAAACTGAGTATTTTTCATGATAATCTAGAAATGGAGATGGTCACTATTAGTTACTAAATTCCATGAAGATCTACATTTTTTTCATATTCTGTTGGTGCTTTTTGTCTCAGCCTTTGTTGTACAGATAATGTCACGGTGCTGGATGTCATATTGTGAAAACAGGTAGGATCAGATTGCTTTTAATTATGTTTTGAAACCATAGAATTTCARGGAAGAGTGCTTTCTTTTTACATCGACTTTATCTTCAAGCAAAAACTGAGAAGGAAACATTTGTTGTGAACATCTGATATATTAACCTCAATGTCCTCAGGAAATAGGTTGTCACTGTATGAGCCATCATCAAACACCACCTCATAGAACGTGGCTGTGGTCAACTCCATCACTTCGCTGTGATAGTAACGAGAATTTCTGTATTTGCAGATCACCTTCTGGCCTGGTGACAGTTCTCGCATAGARTCCTTGTTCCGCTGTGAAGACAAGATGACAATTACTTTATTACTTTTACTTTTTATATGGATTTATTAATCTTTATTTAACTAAAATGTCTCATTGAGATTACAGATCTTTTGTAAGAGAGGTCTGGGCCTGAAGGCTACTTAATGTGCATGTTTTTTGGACTTCTTGTACACAACGGTTTTCTCAGAGATTCCTGTTCTACATATTTGGTACTAATAAGTTATATTCATAAAGACAGGTGAACAAGTGATGCTGTTCAAATCAGCTTGGCAAAAAGATTTTGCACACCAGTTGGAAGGTATATAACAAAAAAATCAAACACAATGGACAATATACAGTAACTACACATATTGAAAGGAAAAGATGGAAGGAATCACATCAAAGAGTATGGACACYTTTTAGTTTCTACGTTACTTATGATGAAAATTTAAAGCCTAGCCTTGATAGAATGCACATCGCCTGCCATCAGATTTAGGATTAAAGGGGCAATATCATGTAAGATCAACTTATTTGAGTTTTATATCATGTTTTAATGTTATTCCCTCATCAAAAACATAACCAGAGTCTTGCTTTGACTCATTCATGCATGTTTGTGGAATCCAGTAGTGTCCTAAGGCAACAGGCAGGGCAGCAAAAACAACCAGTTGGGACTAGAACCACCTTTTAGGTGCAGCTCCTCCACTGGACCGTCTCCAAGCTGAGCTTCCTCATCACAGAACACAGCTTCCCCACGACTCCTGCAGCCTATCAGCAGCAACAACTAGCAAACAGCAGGTGAAGCCGCACATCTGCTGAGCTCCTAATACTTCTCAGTCCAGTCCTTTTTGGATTCAATGCTTTTGAGGAAATGTCTTTTCAGATGCAAGGACGACACGGCTCTTAAAAAATTGTTTAACTTCATTTTTGAAGTAACCCTACGAC